TCCTCCCAATTTTGTGTCATCAGCAAACTTTGATAACAAACCATCCAGTCCTGCATCCAAGTCATTTATGAAGGTATTGAAGAGCACTGGCCCCAAGATGGATCCCTGCGGAACCCCGCTGGTGACTGGTCGCCAGCCCGATGTAACCTCATTTACTATACCCCTTTGAGCCTGACCCATCAGCCAATTGCACGCCCATTGCATTATGTGTTTATCCAGCTGTATGCTGGACATTTTGTCCAGGAGGATACTGTGAGAGAAGATCATTGAAAGGGATGGATGTCGATTTCTTACCTCTTGCATTCTTTAATGAAGAGAGGAAAAAAGGCGACTTTCCCAGTGCTAGCAGTCCAGGAAAGACATGTTTTACAACTCCTCCTTTTGTTCACTCTAAAATAATGTTGCCTCTCATTTCCAACATGTTTCCTATGCTACCAGGGCTTATGCAGAGCTTGAAAACCTTTTGGAAACAATCTGGCTGCCCTCATAGGCTTGCTTGGTGGTGTTCCCCCTTTTACATGTCAGAGAAAGGAGCCAATACCACATAGTCTGTCTTGGAAAAACCTCTATCTTGAGGGGTGGAGGGACCTCGGGTATGTCACCTCTCTCTGATGTACTTTTAAAAATGCAGTGAGCATGCCAAGTGATGCACTGCTGCCATGGTCTGTTTTTGTGCTGTATAGCTGCTTGCTCTGCCACTTCCACTCAAGGTTTGATTTCTTCTGGTTATTTTGTCCTTAAAACAGTGAAATGGAGCCAAAGTGTACGGCCAACACAGTTGTCTACAAAGCTTCCTACTCTTTGCTGGTGCTTGCCACTTGCTTAGGACAAAGGAAGACTTTATTTTTTCTTTTTGGTGAGAATCAAACCAAACTGTGCACAGTTTTCTATTCCGACCTTAGTCACTGTCACATCTGGACTACTTTGAGAGAGTAGTCAGATGTCCACCAAGGGGAGTTACAATGGTCTGCTACTGTTGTGGCTGGCTATTGTACAACTTCCAAGAGCTCCTCGGGAATCAGTTGGTTCAAGTTCATATTTCTTTCGTAAAGTGAATTATTTGCTGTATTAGATTTTGAAGGAAATAATTTCATCTGCCTTTCTTCTGTTTCCTTGCTGTTTTATGTGCTCCATTTTGTCAAGGCAAATGAATTATCTGTCATATTTCTTGTGGTGTAGTGGGCTAGAGCTGCCGTGACTCCTGTGAAGGTATTATGGAAAGGTGCTTATATCCTAAAAAAAAAAACCAAACAAACCAACCCATTTTTCATGAGCACTTGAATATTTCTACTGGTTTGCTAGATTTAACTAATAGGCCTTGACAGGCTAAACTCTTGCAACTCTTCCTGTCAGGGGAGCTGCAGCATTGTCCTTTAATTCCCCTATTTATCTGGGATTTGACACCAAATAGACTTGAACTTTTGTTTCGGTGGCAGTGGTTATATATGATTTCAGATGAGTCTGACTAATTCTTTTAGGCCAAACATCTTACAGTCAGCAACATCTCACTGATCACTTCTTTTCATAGATAGCTTCATAGCTATTTCCATTTGAGGCTAGTAAAGTAGTTATATTTAGTGACAGAATACATTCTGCTTTGAACTCCTGAAACTGGTGCCTAGGAATAATATTCTCCTTTGTTTTATAAACAAGTATGGTTTCTAAAAGACAAGGCAACAAAGAAACCTGTAGAAAATGGAGACCAAAACAGGGGGGTGGCTGGAAAGGGGGGAGCAATATCGCTTGGACTCATTAACTTCTGTTTTCTTTGCCAGTTCTAAAGTGGATGACTTATCGACTGCTATTCTGAAGCAGAAGAACAGGCCCAATCGGTTAATTGTTGATGAAGCCATCAATGAAGACAACAGTGTTGTGTCACTGTCCCAGGTGCGTCATCTATAAAAGCAAAGCATTTAATCTGGTAATATGCAAGCTGTTGCTGTCTATTAACTTGAAATGTAACTTTGCAACATGAATCTAAGTATTTGTGTCAGAAGCTGCAGCAGTTACAAGTGAGGGAGGTGGGTTGTCTTGTTTTCTAATGCTCTTCCATGATAAAATATATTTTGATTCCCAACTTCTAGGATTCAGTTGAGCTTGTGCCCTTAGTCTGGCTTCAGGATTAGCTCTTGACCGGTGTAGTGGGAGCCTCTGTCTTTGTAGATCTAGTATATTGCTTCCAAGATGTAATTCTCCAAAGTCAAGTAACTCTCCTTCAAACACTTGAATTCTTGTTTTGTCAAAAGCTTGTTCTAATCTAATGCTGTTGTACAGGCAAAAATGGATGAATTGCAACTGTTCAGAGGAGACACTGTTCTGCTAAAAGGAAAGAAGAGGAGAGAAGCAGTCTGCATTGTTCTGTCAGATGATACCTGCTCAGATGAGAAGATTCGCATGAATAGGGTTGTTCGCAACAACCTGAGAGTGCGCCTGGGTGACGTGATCAGGTGAGGACTAGTTTGCGAACTGTTGCGTATCCCTGGGTCACCTAAATAACTTGTGCACTGGCTCTGAATTGATTCAGTCTGTAGCAGAGACAGAGTCTGCAGGAAGTATTCTTACATCTTCCAGAGGAGATCACAGAAATGTTTTCAAGTGTGTCCCCTACATCAGGGATCTCCATTTGCTTTTGCATGTGTTTCTGGCTGTATGCATATTCAGATTAATACTAAAAAATGATGCTAAAGATTCTTGAAGTCTCTTCAGGACCTTCACAAGCCCAGGTCCTGTCATTAAATTAAGTAGTTCAATTACCCCACTGTTGTCATGGTCTTCTTCCCAAATTTACAGTCAGATGAATTCACGAGTCTTTCCTGTCTAAATTTTTAATGTCTACAAAGTTAACTGTGGAAAGCAGTAAGCAACATTGTAATTGATCTCATAGTATGGTTAGCTCAAGCACTGAGCTGCCCTATGACAAACAGAAGTTAAAACTTGCTAGAAATGAGTGAAAAAAAACATGAAGCAGTCAGATAGCAAAATTAAAAATCCTTGAAGGTTGTTTATGTTCCAATTTTTGTTATAACATAATTTTAAAATTAGGAATGCTTTAACAGTGTTGCAGGAATTTTGTACAACACTTGCAGAAGGCAGTGGGAAAGCATTGAATGTATACACGTATACATCTTGGCTTACAGGAGGCAGGTTCCATTCTATGATGGGAGTGGGGGGAAAAACATGTGAGCATTTCTTAAACATAAAAATGCTAATTTGCAGGCTTAAATATGTGAGGGTTGGCAGCTCTTCCTTCTGAATATCTTCCTAATCTGGAATATCGTGCATGTTCTGGGAAAATTGGAGCCTGGTTTCTGACACTAGACTTCCTGGAGTGATATCTGGAATAATCTTTAAATGCAAAATGTGTTTCATACGAACTTTGTAGAGGAGAGGAACGAGTCTGTTCCACCCATCTCTCTACCACTAGAAAACGCAAGTTTTAAACACGACTGTAGTTGGAACAGAACAGTGCTTTGAGCCAGTCTGTGGGTTTAAAATAAAGGTGAATCCTTACTTTAACCTGATGTGAGGTTACTGTTGGAGTAATTTCTAGTGTGACAGTTCAGCCTGTGCTCTCCCCTTCTCTGCTGGGACTGTGTCTGTAGTGGTTCTCAGCCTTCCAGATGTGTTACTGATTGTCTTAGCTTTGTTGCAAGGGTCAGAGAATTTTCACACCTCTTGCTCTCAAAGTTTCTCTTGCTGATCTTTAAGTACTTATTGTGTTACTTTCTGTGGCCTGGTTTCTGCCAAAATCCAGATTCATGCGCTAATCACTTCCTGCCTGTAGTCTGTCAACTGTTTTCCTTCTGGCACAGTCTGTCTTTTCCTTTATTCTTCTGCTATATCCTCTCTGTAAAGCACGTGGTAAAAGAATCTATTAAGAGTCTCTAACAAAGTAGCGTATGAAAAGTTGCATGCTCAGCTGCAGTTCCACATAGGCTTTTCTTAGCTGGCAAAGCCAGTTTGAGCTTTCTGCCTCTCTGCCACAGCTTGATACTCTGAGCTGTCGCTACAGTAGGCTGTTGGCCTACACTGTAAAATAATAGCTGAAATGTTTATTTAAAAAGGGGGAAGGGGCCTTCAGGCTTTAACCTAAATGTCAGTCTCCACAAAGGGGGATTGACAGACACCTGGCTACCCCTGGTTGGTACTGTGAGAGCCTTTGCTCAGAATCAGGGTTATCAGCAACAGGAGCTCTATTCTCTGTAGTAAGTTATGAGAGAGAGAAAGAAACAAAGAGTTTCCCCCAGCTC